AAACCCCTAGGAACTCCAAACCTCCTCCCCTAGGAACCTCCAAATCCTGCTGGGACCCCTTACGAACACCTAAGTCCCCCCAGAGACCCCTCTAGGAACCCCCAAACCCCCAAGGAAACCCTCCAGGGGCCCCCCCATCCCGCAGCTCACGCAGTGGGGGCAGCTCCAGCGTCCCTCGGGGGCACGGTCCAGCTCGGGGTCGAGGCAGACGAGGTGGTAGGCGCGGGGACAAGTGTCGCAGAGGATGATCTCTCCGCCCTGCTGGCACACCTCGCAGTAGTCCTGGTGGTCCGTCTCGTAGCCGTCCCCCTCCTCCTCCGGCCCCGGCCCTGCGGGGACGCCACGCACCGCCCGCTGCCACCCGGATTGACGGGGACGGGGCGCCGGGGACGGGGACATGGGGGCAACGGGGTATGAGGGGGCACTGGGGATGGGGACATGGGGACAACAGGGGACAAGGGGCACTGGGGACACCCAGAGACAGGGCGCAGGGGCACTGGGGATGGGGACATGGGGACACCACGGGGTGGGGACACTGGGCATGGGGGCTGAGGGGCACTGGGGGACATGGGCATGGCGCAAACAGGGCACAAGGGGCACTGGGGATGGGGACGTGGGGACACCAAGGGACAGGGTCACTGGGGACACCCAGAGACAGGGGTGGCAGGACACTGGGGACACCAGGGAACAGGGGCACTGGGGACACCCAGAGTCGGGGGCGCAGTGGGATAGGAACATGGGGACACCAGGGGACGGGGACACTGGGGATGGGGACATAGGGGCACTGGGGGACAGGGGCACGGCGCAAACGGGGCAGGGGGGCATTGGGGATGGGGACATGGGGACACCAAGGGACAGGGGCACTGGGAACACCCAGAGACAGGGGTGCCCAGGCACCGGAGGATGGGGACATGGGGACACCAGGGGACGGGGACACTGAGGATGGGGACATAGGGGCACTGGGGACACCCAGAGACAGGGGTGCAAGGGACACTGGGGATGGGGACACCGGGGATGGGGGTACTGGAGGATGGGGGCATGGGGACACCGGGAGACGGGGGCACTGGGGATGGGAGCACTGGGGACACTGGGGACACCCAGGGATGGGGGCACTGGGAACAGGCGTGCTGGAGGATGGGAGAATGGGGACACCAGAGGACAAGGGACAATGGGGACGGGGACACCCAGGGATGGGGGCACACCAGGGGACACCAAGGGACGGGGACACTAGAGGATGGGGATGTGAGGAGAATGGGAAAGGGGGTGCTGAAGGATGGGGGCAGGGGGACATCAAGGGACAGGGGCACTGGAGGATGGGACTATGGGGACACCAGGGGTCAGGGACACCCAGGGATGGGGGCACTGAGGGATTTGGACCTGTAGACACCAGGGGACAGGGACATTGGGGATGGGGACACCCAGGAATTGGGGCATAGGGGCACTGAGGGATGGGGACAAGGTGGCACTAGGGATGGGGACACTGGGACACCAGGGATGGGGACACCAGGGATGAGAGCACTGGGACACAGGGAGGGGGTGGCACCAGGGACATGGGCACTGGAGACACCAGGAGATGGGGCACCAGCACACAAGGGGACAGGGACATAAGGACACTGGGATACCTGTAGACAAGGGAGAGTGGGGACACAAAACGCCCAGGAGAGATGGCAGGGACAGGGACATGGGGACACCGCTACACCCCTTGGAAGAAGCCAGGGGCTGGGGACTCCCCGGACGCCACCACCGACACGGGTAAGGGACAGAGGACCCCGCACAGGGTGACACCATGGGCTCGGGGACCCCGGGTGACAACTTGGGGACACCGGCGGGTGGGGTGTCTCACCGTGCGCGGGCGCTGTGCCCGTCCCCACGGGGCCGCGCTCCCGGCTGAGGCCGGCGCAGGGGGCTGCAAGGAGCGCGGGAGGGAG